CCGTTCCCACCAATCGGGCTCTGTCGACCCTTGGGACTGGCGTCCCCTTGGGTATATCCAGCCGAAACAGTTTTCATGGATCGCCGTAGGCGTCAAATTTCCATGGAAGTTGCCTATACCCACGATGGGTGAAGAGGCGTCAAGTACAAGTACAAGTAAGAGGCGGATCCCCACTCTTGGCCTTCCATAAAAGTGCTAAAAACACAGCTCTGAATCTTTTCTTGCGCCAATGAAAGGGAGGGTTGGTGCCCTGAAAGCCCCCCAACTTTTAATCAATTTGTAACATCCCTTACCTGTTTTAAATTTTACATATTGTTTTATATGTTTTTAATACTTTATCTTACCCTTCACAGAATCATTTTGTGAAGGAAATGGACAGTTCTTAAATATGACAAACAAATAATTAGTGAATTTAGGGTTTGTTTTGCTGTAGGGCAAGAGTGTCAAACTCAAGGCTTGGATCCAGCCCTCAGGGTGCTTAGATCTGCCCTGCGGAGCCACCCCGGAAACAACTAAGGATTGACCCACGGTGCCCCGAGATAGGCAACAGAAGGAAATAATCTTAAAGATTTATCACAATTAAAAAATAAAGCCTCTCACTGTATTGCCGCCACCTAAGTTTTGTTCACATGGAAGATGTAAATCCCTTATAAACATCATTCATCCAGAAATATTAACTATGATCCTTCACCACTAAAAGGTTTCTACCCATTTTAGATTTCGTTTAGTAACAGAGCATACATAGATACCCCTCCCCTAAATATTTAATGAGTAGATAAAATATTACAAGCCTGTAATTATCTCATATATTCTCATGAAAATTCATGACCCACAAGCATTCATCTGAGAAATGACAAAGCCAGGAGTCAATAAAAGTGCTGAGCCTTGATTTACCGCATCCCATCAAGAAAACTTTGACCAAATTAACTTGCATGAAATCACAAACCTGCCTGATTCTTACCTACTAATTTATTTGCTTGGCAGAAAAAATAGAAGATGATTAGTGCTGAAAAAGAGTAATAAATGGATTCAAAATGTATTCTGTTTGCTCCATGCTAAAATGCAATGCTAAAACAAACACTCTGAAACAGCACTTTAACAAAACTATTATGGCTTGAGTGAAATGGAATATTTGCAACTAGCAACAGGGCAGTATTCTCTTCCTCAACCCCCAGATTCACAATCAGTACTGATAATTACTAGACAAAATATATGTTTAATTGAACTGAAAATTATTCCTGTCAAAAACATATGGAAATATCAACTGGTATAACAAAATCCTTTGATCTCTAGCTTTCAAAAAAGGGGAACAGGCATTCCGCAAAGTTATGATTGTTCAGATATGATAGTAAACTATTTACATTATACATATTTAAATATTCTATCTATCTATCTATCTATCTATCTATCTATCTATCTATCTATCTATCTATCTATCTATCTATCTATCTATCTATCACCTATCTGCCTGCCTGCCTGCCTGCCT